GCGGTACTACCTGACTTAACAATGGCAAATGCGATTTGACGATGTCGTCAAAATAATGGTTTTATCAAAACCAAAATTATTCAACGCGGAGTCAAATCCAAAAAACCACAGAAAGCACCTATGGCGCCAGTGGAAATTTCAAGTGTAACAAGTCTTGTATTAAACGCATTATTTTGTTGTAAAATGGGTCTGCCCAATATATACCATACATGCTCAATTGGGTTTAAATCTGGCGATTGTGTAGGCCATGGTAAAACATTAATTTCATTATCTTCGAGGAATGTTCACACGTCTCTGGTAGTATCCGGACGCGCATGATTGTCCATTAATTGAAATTAAGGACCAATTTTTTATTAGGGATTAATTTTTGATTGGTATGACCTGATCCTGAATGGCAAGTAATGAACCTTCTGTTTCAGGAAATATCTTTCCTGGTGTCAATCAATAGTTCGACGCTCTATTGTCGACATAGTCTTAGCTGACCTCATTCGGATGTCGCCCGTGCAGAGGTTTACCCATCCAGATGCGCATCTTTTTGTTCTTACTAAGATGGTCTATGCGCATTTCTTGTTCCCTCAGTAAGGTCTTGCACCTGAAAATAAGTTCTTAAATTAGTAATCTGCTTTTCTAATTGTTCGCTTATATCCATAAGTCCTCGACCCCTAAATACCGCGGTAATGTCGTTTTTTCTACTTCACTTCGAGGATGGTGTTCTTGTGTCTTTATGAGGTGTATTCGTACTTTTTGCTGAAGAGTCTCTATATCTGTTTTAGTCCACTTAATAGTCCCAAATGAGTAGCTAAGCGCGGAAAATGCGTAGGTGTTTAATGCCTTAAACAAATTTTTACTATTAAGATGTGAGCGGGGTAGCTGTTTTACCCTTCGTATGAACTCTGATGTTAATTCAATTTTCATTTGGTTATGGTCAATTTTCCACGCTTGTTTGATTCCTAGATATTTATACATGTCATTTTCGCCCATAGCATCGATGTTTTGGCCATTTTGCATATCCTCCGGGCTAAACCTTTTCCTCAACTATAGTTAGTATACGACATTTATCTAATTCAAAGTGCATACTGATATCATTTGAAAAAGTTTCTACAGTTTTTACCATTTGATCTAAGTGATTTCGAGTGGAAGCCATTAGTTTCAAATAATCCATATACAACTAATGATTAAGCTTCGCCACTACAGTATTGTTGTTTTTAATGCTAAAACCTGAGTCAGATAGTGGGTTCATCGCTAGACAGAACCATAATGAACTCAGTGAGTCTTCTTGGAATAGGCCGCGGTTAATTGCGATATTTTCCGTTTCGATGTTGTTTTCACCAGGTATTTTAAAGTGAACTTTAGTCTTCCAATCTGTCATTATATGTCTTAGTAAGGTCACGATATTATCATCATCATCATCATCATTGGCTTTTACAACTCTTCGTGAGTTTTTGCCGCGTTTACTATTGCCTTCCATTGATTCCGATCCTGTGCTATTATTTCCCATGGCCTTACTTCCATCTTCTCCAGGTCTTCCCTGACTGCGTCTTTCCACCTTTTTCTAGGCATTCCTGTCGATCTTCTACCATCTGGTCTTTCCCAAAACACATTGCTAATCAGTCTGTCGTCATCACTCCGTATCACGTGGCCTGCCCATCTTAATCTATTGGCTTTTATGTATCTTACGATGTTTCCTTTCCCGAAGAGAGACTCTACTTCATTGTTGTATCTGCTCCTCCCTTCATTTGTCACACTGTCCCTGCAAGGACCATATATAATTCGCAGGATTTTGCGTTCCCATACTAATAGCTTATTGATTTCTTTATTTCTCAATGTCCATGTTTCACTTCCATATGTCACTGCTGGTCGTATTATGGTTTTGTACATTTGGATTTTGTCACGCCTTGAGAGAAGCTTTGACCTCATTAGATGTTGAATGGCAAAGAATGATTTATTCCCCGCCAGTATTCGTATTTCAACCTCCCGTTCTCCTGTGTTTTCACTGGTAATTGTTGCTCCTGGTTATTTGAATTCTTTGACCACCTCAAAATTATGATCGTTTATGGTAATGTTTATGGTAACGATATTATCATCGACTTATTTTTTAACATATCAACCAGTCATTCATGAGGCACTGAGTCAAAAGCTTTCTTATAGTCAATAAAGGCAGTGAAGAGGTTCCTTTTTTTCGGTGTATGCCTGGTTAGAAATGATTAAGTTGGTAATAAGTTATTCTTTGCAACCCATGGAACCCTTAGCGCATCCTTTTTGTTGAGGTTCTATGATATTGTTTAGAGCGCAGTGTTGCTAGATACACTGGGCTATACAGGATGCGACCAATTTATACAGAATTGGAAGACAAGTAATTGGGCGGTACTTAGCTGGATCTTGGGTATTATTTTGATCCTTTGGTATTAAATAAGTTGTTCCCTGAGTTAGAAATGATGTTATTTTCTACGGATTAAAAATAACACGATTAATTAGTCTTGACTAATGCACTCGCACTCATGAGCACTCCAGAACTTCTTGAGCCAGAAGTTTTGAACATCGACTGGTCCAGGAGATTTCCAGTTATGAAGCTCTTTGATGATATTAGAGGTTTCTTCTGTAGTGAAGGGTTCATAGACAGTTGTACGGTAGTTTTGGCAGCTGTGTGTCGTATCTCCAGTATTTGTGTTAAGAGCAGCTGGCGTGGAAAATTGCTTTTCCCAAAACTCTTGAATTTCTTCTTGGCTTAGATATGAGTTATTGGCTCTTTAGACAGTGGTATTGAGTTTCCGATAAAACACCTTCTCATCATGCTCAAAAAGCGCTTATTGTCGCATTTCCTGCTGTTGCTGACTTTGTACCTCCTCAGTTGTCCTGAATAAACAGAGAGTTTTTGTTTTAATGAACCCAGGAAAACGGCGTATCTAGGTCACATCATGCGAAATGAAAAATACCAGTTCCTCCAACTTATAATCGAGGGTAAAATTGAAGGCAAGAGAGGAATGGGACGCAAGAAAATGTCCTGGCTCCGAAACATAAGGCAATGGACAGGGATTAACGACATACAATCTCTGATACATATTGCAAGAAATAGAGAGTTAATGGAAAATGTGATCGCTAACATCCATTAGTGGATTTGCATCTGAAGAAGAGAAGGCACTGTTGGGCAGTGCTGTTTTCTGGATCATATTGTGAGTGTCTTGCAGTGATTAGCATTATTTGATCAGCTCTTTTAATGACTTTTCTACTAGTTGTTCCTCGTATATATTCTGTCATTTGACTAATGTCCCTACGCAATAATTCAATCTTGTTTAGAAGCCGTTTCTTCCAGGGTGCAACTCTGTTATCTGTCCTTCTGGCATTGGCAGCCCGTTGTGTTCTGATCTTAATGCTCATTACATCAGCTGTTGCTGTTGCTGCACAGTAAATAAGCATGTCCAAATATTACAGCATATAAGCTTCTACGACAAAATAGGTTAGGACTTCAGTATTTATAATTTGTAACAGAGCACCTAGTTTTTTAGAAGAGTTTATTTTTGGTAGCCGTGATCTGCTAAGTTGATTTGTTCCATTAAACTTTTGTACAGCATGTGCCATTTCGCTTACCAAGGTATCGCGTAACTTGTTGTCCTGTTGTGTATTATCAGGTTGGTAAGCTCTTGTATGGTAAGCTCAGAAATCTGTTTATGTATTTCATTAGGGACTTGATGCACATTTACCTCTTGGTGAATAATTTTCCGTTCGACTTTGCTTCTGATGGTATTGCGTCTAGTCTCTGAAATAAGATTGTTTTTCTAATTATCCGGTACTGATCAGCAACTCGTTGTTCAGTTACTTGAATTTCTGGGTACTCCCTGCAAAATTCGGCATAAAGATTTTGTCGATACCCGATCGTTTCTTGACCGAGGTTTGTCATCTGGTAATAGAAGCGCAAAATATTTTCATTTATGGACGCAGTCCATTTCATGCGCTGCCTCAGTCGTCCCACTTGGGTGAGCACCGGCTGATGTTCCAGCGCAACACCTTCAATAAGTCGAGCTCTTGGTATTGTTTGGCTCGCTTGTGTTGTTCTTGTTGTTGTTGGGCTGTAGCTGATTGTATGACAGGCCCGGCTCCTCAGCGCCCTACCACCGACGCCGACGTCCCGCATGCTGTCACGTACAGCGCCGGCTCCATACGTTATTATTATTATTAGATAAACAGCTTTCACTTCTTCTAATGGAAAAATTAAATCATTTCAAATGCAAGCTATACCTTACTGTTATACATTGTTATTATTGTTTAGACCAGTGCGAAGTGTTACTTAGCAGGATATACACATTTAGTCTATTACTATAAAATTTATATGAATATTTACTTAATTTGACATTGTTAGATATAATGAACCTTAGTGAAATTTTTTGTATATTAGTGTATAATAGCTGTTTGCCAACCCTCCTGATGGCATGTGCCAAGGAGAACAAATGTCACTAAAAGAGAATGTTGTACTGTATTTTTTTAATGAGAAATAAAAAGGCATTCTTGGTTGATTGATTAATTATTGATTGATTGATAGGCAAAAATATGGGTACAGAAAGCAAAAATTTTCGATTTTTTTCTGATTTTGTTAAATAAAAAATTAAGCACAAGGTTTGCGACTGGCGCATATCATAATGATTGGTACAAGGTACATCCTGAAGTGATTCTAGTAAAAAAATAGACTCCTATGGAAAATGTCCATTATGGTCTGCTTTTCGACAGATCCCGCCTGGACTATATGGCTTTAGTAATTGAACGTGTATTAATTTTACAATGCTTATAGTTTTTAAAAGTTTTATACACAATGTTTCGTCTAGTTCTTTACACATAATTGCAGACTAGACATGTAGACATAAGTGTAGGATTCAGAACTTAATGTAAAATAAAGTGTGAAAGTATCTTTTACTGCCCCACCTTGGTCTTGCAAATCACTCAAGAATTCTCGGTGCAAGCAAAAGTGGGGTGCGGCTATAAAATCCTATAATCCAATGTTTGAAATTCCGTTTTAGTTAATATGAAACGAGAGTGATAGTTACTGAATTTAAGCACGTTTTTCGATCAGTGAGAGTGAAGATGTGGTCAGGTTTTATTTGTGTTTTATTTGTGGTAAGTATCTTATTTAACAATATAAATTAGTAATCTTTTTTTGGACTAATTACTCAGATACATGGATAAAAAAAATATTTAGTTAAACGACGAAAAAAATTTAAAATAAAAATGTCCGCGTTTGCCGAAATTATGATCAGGGATTGAAGGATCTATTCCTGATTCAAGTCCGGGAATTTTAAAATTCTTATCAAACAAAATGTTTATATATTTTCAAAATAGTCTGTGTTCTTGAGATTACAAAAGAAGAAATTTTTGTATAGTTATCACTTAAAAGTGTTGTGTCAGTATTTTTTTATCATGTAATAAACGAGTACTTACATACAGCTCTTTTGCTTATACTTTATGACCATTCTTCAAATTGGAACATCATCTTTGCATGGGATTTACAGGTAGGGTTTTAGAAATTTTAGATTTAAATTAAATGCACGAATTAAATGTAAGTTAAACTTCTGTTCTTTTTCGTCCATAACACCTCCTCATATCGTGTCAGATTGTGTTAGTGTCGATTCTCGTTTTCCAATTTTTTTATTTATCGATATTATTTTCTTTTCTGTGTAGTTTATTCCTTTGGCTTTACTTGCTTTTATAATTTTATTTATTCAGCTTTTTCTTAGCTGTCCTCTCTATCGTTTCTAATATTATCATTGTCTATCTTTTGTCTTCCATCTTCTGTACGTGCCAAAACAATTCCAATTGTTTTCTGGTTAGAATAGTGGCGCACCCAGGGGGTTTTGGGGGTCAAACTCCTCCCCAGGACCCTATTCCTACACTGTTATTTACAAATTTTAAGCACTTAAAATGGTGGAGGTAGCATAAAAAAATTTCAGTGCCCAACCAAACCCCCCCCCCCAGAGGACAATTCTAGGTGCGCTACTGGGTTAGAATAGATGAGAATCTGAGTAGAGTAATGTTTCAATGTGTGTAGGGATCAGTCGATTGTATCCAACTGTTGTTTGGAGAATCCTTGTTTTAGATCTCTCAGCTACTTCCTTTTTTCATCTCCTTTCTAGAAGAAAATCTTCTGATTTTTCTCCTTTGATTTGTATTTTCGTTCTGTTCTGTTCTGTTCTGTTTCGTTCGTGTATGCTCGGATATCAATAAGGCTCGGATATCAATTGGATATCAAAATTTTAATTTTCGTAAATAATTTTCTTATGTTTTACTAATGTTTTATCAAAACTCTGTTGACTTTTATGCCATCTTTTTAATAATTTCTTCCGAGTTTATTGTACCTATCACCGTTGTCTCCATTATAAGTATCTGGACCGGTATGTCGATTTATTTTGCATTTTTAACTACAGTTCTCTCTAGTATCGTTGAATAATTCTTTGATATATTTTCGTCATATTTATCAATTTGTAATTATTTCTGTTATTGATTTTACTTTTTTAAAATGATTAAACCCCTCGCATTTCTTTGTATTTTTTTATTACTATACATTTGTTAGAGTAATATACATCTATTGCTATTCTTATTATGCATTTTAGGAGCTTTTGTAAATGTTTCTATCAGTTTTCATCTTTATTTTTGCTTTACTTTGGTTCATTAGATCCCAAACGTCTTTTGTTATACAGTCTTTTGGTTTTTTTTTTATACTTTTTATAATATGTTGACTATTACATTCACTTTCAGTTAAAGTTGGAAGACCCTGATGGTTTCCAGGGCAACAATTATCAATAACTACGGAGAAAGCTACTGCTACCTGGGGAAAGCAATGCAAAACATTGAAACGTTTAAAACAAAAGAAAAAGGTTAATGTGAGTGAATAATAAAAGTAAAATTTAATGGCATGTCCTGCAAAACAGGAAACCAAAAAAGGTATATCGATGGAAGGCAACCATATTAACATGTTCCTTTTCTAACGTGGCTGTACCGTACAGAAGACGACCAATAGTCAGAAATACGTATATACGGTTGCTTGCTGTAAAACGATGCAATACGGCAATATTAACATAATAACATTGGAGACAAATCAAGGACACTTAGAGGACATATCATGAAAAATAATGCAGAATCTAGACCATATTAATTTATAATTTAAAATACTACTGGAAACAACAGAAATAAGGAATTTTATAGAATACTTGGGACGTCATTCATAGATTGAGACAGAAGCAAAAGCATTAGATATTCATCGCTATTGTTAGTCGCCCACATCTTTAATCCATATATATGGAGGTGTGATGTCAATGATCAACTCCATTGCAGCAGTTGGTGTTGTTTTCATGGCACCTGTTATATTTATATAAGCCATTCGCTGAATATGGTTTAGTTTGTTTATTGCTGTTATCTGTAACACTTTTGGTACCCAAGCAATAGCTCCGTAATTTAGCATTGGCCTAATGACAGCAGTGTAGACCCAGGCGATCACCCTGGGCGAAACGCTTCAGGTGCGCCCGACTGTTCGTCGACACTGCTCATAGGCAATATATTATGCTCTTTTAGCTTTACCATCTAAGTGCGAGTTTTATGTTAACTTTCTCTCAAGGGTAATTCTTCCTACCAAGCTAGTTCACTTCGTCAGAATCACCATGTTATTAAATCAAACAAGATCTATTAAACCTCCCCTCATTTACTAACTCGGTCACGATAACCAATTGAAGATTCTTGAAAAATGAGTAAATATACAAAAAAATAGAATTCATAAACAAATAATATAAATATAGAAAAACGCATAAATATAATCCCTAACAAGAAGAGCAACAAGCCGATATTTTACACTTAAATTATTTTTTTATAAGATATTTATGCAGACTTCATAAAATGGATATAAACTGGAATGCTACCTTAAATTAATTCCCATTGTGACAAGCTTTCTTATGACTGATCGTGATAGGTTAAGAATTATTTATATTTTAGAATGCTCATGACAACAAATTCAACGAGCTCCGATTATAAGAGATACCATGCAAATTATTTTACCTGGATATTGAGATTCCATGGTCTAAATAAATCGGGCTTCTGTGTACATGTTCGTCTTGTTTTTGGCTCCCAGCCCTAAGGTATCACGACCCTTCTAACTAATGGCAACATCCCCATTTGGCAATAAGTACCCGATTACCCTATTGCATAAAAACATCAGGAGTCTGAGCTGCATTTTACTCTAGGCCCTACCTATAAAATCAACCCTCTGTGCTTTTCTATTTTCTTCAGATGCGTAACTTTATGTAGATTTAATGGGATGCTATTTGTTGGTAGTAAATTTCCTCTCAGCTAAGCTGCTGTTACATAATCTTTTCCTGATCATAAAGGCAGCGAATTTTCAGGTCTCTGGCTCAATTTCCGCGTTATCAATGCTAAACTCTCTGTATATTCTTCCATAGATGCGACATTTATGGTAGCTAGAGGGTAGCTGCTATCTCAGGTGTGGCCAGGCTAATTAGTTTTAAATCATGAATCTGTTTTAATATTTGGCGTCTCATTATGGCTGAAACATTTAAAGCCACGGTCATCACGTCCAGTCCATCCTCTTTGATGACAGTATGAATTTATGCATCTGAGCACGAGAATCGTCAGAATATTTCGCCAGCTATGCGCACGAAACTCTCAACGCACTTTAATACTTATTTAGCATAGTTATGGCCGGACTGTGAAGCTTGTCTATATATCTCGGCAGTAGATATGATTTAATGACAAGGAATTTCTGTTGCAGTTTAAACTCAGAACTTCGTCTACAATAGAGCTGTATCTGTGTCTCATTGAAGGCTATTCTGGTCTGACCGAGTGCCGTAGAACTTCTACTTAGGTATTTACCTAGGTTGTTTGGCAACATCTGTCGAACTCAGTTGTTGCAGACAGAGAATAGAGAACGTGTAACGGAATAATAGTGTTTATTACTACGGTTAATATTATCAGTAATAGCCGCAGTTTTACCAGCATTTGTTGTCACTCATCTCCTCTTGAACAATTTAACAGAACTCCAAAGAAGCTATCTGTTGCCATCTTTGGCAGATTCAAACAGCAGGATTAAGTCGTTAGCGTATCATAACACTGAGATCTTTATACCATCTGCAATGGGTGTGTGTGACCTGTCTTCGTCAATCTTGCATATCAGCTCGATGACCATCATGTTAAATAAGTAGGGTGACAAGGGATTACCTTGTTGAACACCTCTACCCATTCTAATGTTGTTCGTCGTGCTGCTATCCGCGCGGCGGTGATACTTGTAAGGCAGTTCTTATATGAGTCCATAACATATACCGTGAATGTCGCACATACATCTTGTTTTAATGTTAACCAATAAGGTATACGAAACCAATCAGATTTGTTCATTTGACTATTATTTGTACGTTCTTCTTCTTTAAGTGCCTCTTCTATCGGATATTGGATATCATTATAGCGATTCTAATTTTATTTACTGCTGTTTTGAATAGTTCGTTAGTGGTACACTCTCTTAAATTTCTCATCCAGGACATTCTTCTACGTCCTGGATTTCTGCGTCCTTAGATTTTTCCTTGCATTATATTTTGTAGGAAAGTGTACTTTTGTCGTCTCATCAAGTGGCCTAACTATTCAAGTTTTTTTCTTTTTTATAATCAGGATAACTTCTGGATTGTTATTTATTCTGCGTATTACCTCTTCATTTCTAATTTTTCCACCCAACTTATTTTTAGTACACGGCGGTAGCACCACATCTCAAAGCTTTCAAGAATCCCAAGTATTTGTATTCGCTTACTTTTTCGAGTTGGGTGCCGTTTATTGCGATACTACTGTCATGTATTGGATTCTTACTCAAGGTCATATATTTGGTTTTTTGACGTTCATTCTTATGCCGCAGTTATTACATATTACATTCATAATTTCAACTAGATGTTGTAGATCTTCCGCTGTACTTGTCATTGTCACAGTACCGTCAGCATATCGAATGGTATTGATAACTTCTTCATTGGCTATTATCCCTTCGTTTGCATGTGAGAGAGCTTTTTGGCATATTTGTTTGCTGTAGATATTAAACAAGAGCGGTGTCAATATACAACCCTGTCGTACTCCTCTACGTA